TAGGTACACTAGGTTCTGCAGAACAACATCATCCTTTGCTGAATCGAATGGCAACGACCTCGATGACCGCGGCGAAGAAGATGTTCAACAGCGGTGGGGACAGCACGCACCCTCTTGTTGTAGGCCTTGTGTGACCCAGAACCAGGCCGAAAACTCTCCGTCGTCCATGCGCACCCGGGCTCGCATTCTGTCGTGGAATTGGCGGATGACCGCGATCATCTCCTCAGGAATCTCGGCCCTGGCCAGGACCTTCCACCGCAGCTCTCGGTCCACCGAATCATACCCCTTCTTCAGGTCGACGAAGCACATGTAGAGTGGTCTTTTCCTTCTCCGCCCCAACTCCTGGAGTTGGTGCACGACGAACAGCATGTCGATGGTGGATCGCTCAGGTCGGAACCCGCATTGCTCCTCCGGAAGGATGTTGTTGGTTCCGCAGAAGGCGTAGGCGGTTGGTGATGATCTTGACGGGGACTTTCTCTAAAGCAAGATAGGAGCGAAAACCCCCTGAAGTTGTTGCAGGTGGGCCGGTCACCCTTCTTGTACAACACCTTGATGGTTGCGTCCTTCCACTGTTGGGGGATCTCTCCTCCGTTCCACACCTCAACGAGGATGGCATGGAGGTGCTTCCACCAGGACCATAGGTTCCTCGTCGTCGTCGATCTTGAGCAACTCGGCAGGGAGGGGGTCATTGCCGGGTGCCTTTCAGTTCTGCAGTCCTTTCGTTGCCCGTTCCACTTCCTCGAGGTCTGGCACCGCTCCCAACGGTCGAGTGGCACGTGTCGCCGGTCGCTGCGGCGCTTGTTCGATAATGTCTGGGTTCAGGGTGGGGAACTTGGTGTTGAGGAAGGTGCCAAGAATCTCGTCCATCGCTGGAGGGTGTCGTTGTTTCTCCGGAGCAGCACGCCATTCTCGTCCGCAACGGGCTGCTATCCTCCCGCTTGTCTCCCACTGAGCCCCACTGATCTCTTGAGGTGTTGGTAGAGGCCTCTCATATCGCGGTCCTTGTAGATCGCTTCGAGTTCCGTCACATATCTATCCAGGTGGGCATGTATGCCCGTTTCGACTGCTGCGGCCACTCCCTTACACGCTGCTTTGAGGGCCCTCCATGATGATGTATTCACGTTGTCCTTCATCGCTCGGCGCGCCTCCCGCCGTTTGGCGAGGGCCTCCTCCAATGCTGCTCTTGTCCCAGGGGTCTCACACCATTCCTGCGTGCGTCGTCTCCGCGGTCCCTCGGGTAGAATCGCCCTCGCCGCTTCGAGGAGAGCATTGTGGTCGCTTGTTCGCCCTGCCGTTGGTCGAGGTTGAGGAGGAACTGCGTAGTCACCGCCCATTGTGTTGCTTCGACCTGCAGTTCCCGTCGGTTGAACAGCTTCTGTTTCGGTTTGGTCCGGACTGCTCGGTTGTGGGCAAGCCTGCCAACGAGGTTGACGGTGGCTATCACCATGTTATGGTCTGAGTCCGCCTTGACTGGGTATACCGGCTGAGGTATGACAACGATGTCAGACACTCAGCCGTGGTGTGCCTGCCGCGTTAGAATGTAGTCGAGGCGCCAACGGTCGGTGCCTGACGCACCGTTATATGAGTTCCATATTCCGCCCTTGCGCGTCTCGAAGAACGTTCTCGCGAGTGCGTGCTTGTTTTCCGCTGCTAAGGTCAGTAGTAGCCGGCCATTCTCGTTTAGCTCATCACGCCCGTGTATCCCCATGACGCCCTCGTCCTCCTCACCCATCCTCTCTCCCGTGCAAGCATTGGCATCCATCAGGATATACACGCACTCTTTGGAGGGAATCCTCCGCACGAGACTGTCAAGTTTCCCCCAGAACTCTGTCTTGCTGTCGGCGGCGGCGACCTCGTTTGGGGCGTACCAGCAACAAAGTTGACAGCTCCGCGGTGGCCCGTCATCTCAAACCTCTTGGCCATGAGGAGTTCATCGACATAGTTCGTGGTGAAAGTTGAGGTCTTGCACAGTGACTCTTCAACGGCTATTCCGACACCATGGATTTTGCGCTTCTCCGTACCACAGCAGAACACTCGGAAACCCGCTAGTGCGAACTCCGTTTGACCTGGCCTCCTGGTCTCCTGCAGCCCTACCACCGATACATCTTGCTTTGCTGCCTCGCGTAGGATGCTGTAGGCTCGCCCGTACCCATTCTTCCCGTGTACACCCAGAGTCCGCACATTCCAGGTTGCTACCCTAAGAAGTTGACCCTGCTGTCTCTCTCGGGCGGTGCGTGCTGCTCTCTTAGCTAGCCTACGCTTCACCCGTCCCCTCCTTTTCCTCCTTCGTGCCCTCTTTTTTCATATTTGTTGTATTTTTTTACGGGCTCTCGGGCTAACGTACAAGTTATTCCGGTGCTTGCCTTTTGTCCAAGCGAGCTGTCTTGTCCCGGAGCGGTGAGGCCCTCCAGCTGTGGACCCTCTCCTTTCCTCTCTCTGGTGCATACCCCCACGGTGTACCCCGTGCTCTCTGCTGCTGCATGGCCCCGGTGTCCAAGCCGGGGCGTCTGGATTCAGTCTCGTTTGCAACTACCCAAGTCGGCTAGGTCGCGAGCTCCCCCCGATCGTACGACAGCGGTATGTAGTTCCCGGCCGCCAAACTCAGGATCCCCTTCTGATCAGTGCTAGGGACTGTGTATCCGTCTTTGTTGGGTGGTGTTTCGAGGTCTAAGTCCACTTACGGACTTCGGCCCACCTCAGCAGGGAGGGGGGCAGGCCGGGGGAAGCGTTTACATGTAAATAGAGTGCTCCAGAAAAAAGGCGAAAAATGTGGGTCCAGCCTTTTTTATATGGACCATTCGTGTGCGCAGTACCCTTCCTTCCAACCAAATATTCACCGACCTGGAAGTTAGAGACTGTCGCCGATGTTGTGGCTCCTCCGGCCTTTCTCTCACACACAAACACACCTTCCTAAAACAAAAGGAATAGACCAGAGAGGAGCTGCCAGAGAATAGTGGTATTAATTTCAAAATGGTGGCAAATGCAAGGAAGAAGATGAAAAGATGATGAAAGCACCCCGAAACGAACACGTGTGCAAAATAGCAGCCTTGGGTAGACCAGTGCATTTTTCTTCTAATTCTACCGTCTCTATCTTTGATCTGGAGTGTAACTTAGCCTCCCCCATGGCGCCCTGTCATGGGGTCCCAGGTCGTGACCTTTTGAAGCACTGTCTGTGTTCAACCGCACTGAGACTGACGTGTTCTCATTGGTTAGCTGGTTAGCGCGGTCGATGCTAATAAGAAAGGTGTAGAAAACACACACACGAACACACACACATCGCGGCGCCAAGTAGAAGCAGGGGGTTGTTTGTGCAAGGCTAGAATTGTGTCCTTTTCAGCATACGGTTCGAAACCTGCACCGCAGACAGACGTCAGGGAGTTCTCCTCTTAAAATGTGGGCAATGTGTGTGCGCCAGGGGCCAGGGGGAGGTAGACCGTTCGTTGGTGCAAACAATACTTTGTTGTAGCCCGTGTACATGAAATTTCTCATGTTCGGAGAGTGTAGAGGAATTTGTAACATGTTGTTCGAATCCGTATGAGTTTTGACTGCATGTACATGTACTTTACTCCTAGCATCAATGGCTGCGTCAACTTGGCCGCGAGGCAATTACTCTCTGCAGATGTTCCTCCTCCATGAACGAACTGAACACAAAACGGAAAGCGTTGCTGATCATCACAATCACCGCTCGCTTTGGGCATGTCAATCCGGGCAATCAGCCCACCACACGTGCTCTACAGTCCACCACATATACGTGTTGCACACCTACACGGCATACTGGTACGCTGTGCCGTAGTCAAACTGCCTGTGTTTCTCGTTGTTCCCGATCTCCCCCTTTGTAAGAGGTACCCTACAATAGAGTGTCCCCATATACAAGAAGGTACCCTCTTATACCGATATTAGAGGGGGCTCCGCCATAAGAGGATCGAGTGCCTTTGTCACACCACCCTGTTATATCAGAGCCACGACTGTAATTTAGTCTCTGGTACAGTCAACCATGCGCTCGTTCGTGAAGATTCCAAGAAAGCGTGCATGATAACATGAAGAAATCGAGACAAGGGCTTCTGCATGAAGTCTTGCACACGTTGTATGCCAATAGCGCGAGAGAGAAAGCGCCGTCGCCCGTTGGTAAGAAGAGCGGCAGAACAAACGTGGAATGGACGGAAATACGTTGCCTTCGGTTAACTAACGACAGTATGCAATAGCCTATTCCGTCACCCTGGTAACCCCATATGCTCATGTATACGTGTGATCTGACAGTGTGCGATTTCGGACTACAGAACAACTTGGAGTTTGTCTCGAATGCCGTACGTAACGACAGCAGGAATTCGGCCGATCGCACAGGAATGCGACCGATTGTTTGAGGTCGGCCACACCACGAGCTAAGAGATTGTGAAACCCGACCGACACGTGCAAGGAAATTACTCCATGTCGTATTTCCAAAACCAATCTTGCCGCAAGAGGCAGCCTCTTGATTGTGGAACGCTTGTTGCGCCCCTGGTAAACGATATTTTGTGCCCGTGTTTTGTAGTTAGGTCGGAGGATCACCGTCGTTTTTCGGCCTTGGGTGCGCACCTTCGAATAATCCTGCCAGATAGCTGATGACATTTAGTTTTGTTTCGAGCGGAATAGTCGGCGGTGACAGGGAGGATCTGCTGCAGTACTTTCTTTGTCGTCGAAGGTACCCCCCCGGTAGGAATTAACGTTTTGATGAGAGCAAAACAGCTTGACAGCCTGCTGAGCCTTAGCTCATCCCTTCAAGGGCCTCGCGCCTCGTAAAAAGGAACATAGCTAACATTGAATGAACAAATGGCGCTCGCGATTGTTTGCCACCGAGCGGCTGATGTATGGCGACTGAACGAGATAACTAATTTTTTACTTTTTTTTATGCCCTGTCCATTGGCTGTTCGAAACCTACAAAGGGTGTCTACGACCAGGCGATCGGCTTCATCACCGTCGCGTTCTTCGCCATCGCGACCTGCACGTGCAGCTACCGCCGTCGGATGCGCCTTCCAACAGTAGTCACTGTGGAGGAAGAGACCGCCCATGCCGAGCCCACGAGACCACGAAACGTAAGTTGTCGAGCAAGGCCCCGACGCGCGTCCAACTCTCATGCCTGTTGGTTGTTCCAGCAATATGTGCATTGCCTGCATAGTCTAGACTTGAAGCTCACGGCGTAAAACAACCAAATACGGCCCCCGCCCCCTCCCAACCCCCCAGTTCGTGGACCAGTGGGCGCATCATCAACCGAAGGGGGTGCCTTGGCACGTCCGGCAAACCTTCGACTACTTCATATTCACGGCAGCGGCATCACCCACCGACAAGGAAAAGGACGAAAAGGTGAAAAGAACCGGTGGAGACCCGCGGGGGACGGAGCGATCAACGCCACTGCCGTCGGCCTTTCCCGCCGCTCCTTCTCACCCAGGCCAAGAGGATGCAGACGCTGGCGTTGAAACCGCTCGGTCTTTCGTCGGATCATCGGCGGATGGGAGCCCTACGGCGGAGCAGGCCCAAAAGGTACAGTCCGCTCGGATGTCAGACGCACTCCACGGCGCGATGACATCTATCGCGACGCTTCAGACCATTCGTACCAAACAAATCTGTGCACTTCGGCCAGTTTGATATCGTTTCGATCGCTGAAGTCTGCGACATGTTCCTCCAACGTGCAGGATAACTTTGGATTTCTACCACGACTCTTCCATCGTTCCTACTTTGTACCCAGTGCGACCTTTCATCTCCCCGGCCTATGCATTACGAAAACCCAAGGTGGAGCGACGTGCCCTAACCCACCTCGCACCCTCGCATTCATGGACACGACGTTGAAAACGTGCTTTCTCGGCGTTCGTTTGCCCATATTCCGCATGTACGATCTATCTGCAGGCGGCAGCAGCGGCCGCGGCTGCGGCTACGGCAGAGCCCGCAATTGGTATCGACGAGGGCAAGCGGGAAGGCAGCGACGCAGCACCGGCGCTTTCTCCGGAGAAGCAAACGCAGCAGCAGCTCCAGCAGGGGAAGTTCGCGTGGGCGTCCTCGTCGGCGCTGACGGACTGCAGTGTTTGCCTGGAGGCGTACCGTAACGGGGACCGGGTGTGCAGGCTCCCGTGCGCGCACGCCTTTCATGCGTCGGTGAGTGTACGGGAGGAAGCCGCATCGCGATCGTAGAGGCGGACGTGGAAGTAGACAATGGAGGCGAGACGGGGGGGAGGTCGAAGGTGCTCTTTCACGTATCCAGCTTACATCGCACCCGTGCTACCAGGATATGGTAGAGGTGTTGGCCTGTAGAAGGGAGGGTCGGATACTTGTTATCCAAGTCCCATATGTTAAGTAGAGACATCCTATTTCTCCCACAAAAGGCTGATGAGCGTGCAACAAATGATTCTGTCCTCCGCCGGTATGATGTTGACTGAGTCTACGATTTCTTAAGGCGTCGCGACTACAACAGACCCGAGATATTTGGCTTAGTGGCACTCGGAGGAACATGCGGGTGCCGGATGCGGGTACTGGATCTCTTCGCTCGGTGTTTACACTGTGTCGTAATTTTCTCACTTGGCCGTGGTGTAGATGAACAGTCCGTCCGACCAATTCATTGCTCGCACCCCCCAGTCCTGCTCACCTCTCAAGCACTGCTCACATGCCCTCCCTCCCGCTGCTCGTCCCTGCCGGCCCTAAATTGACCCGATGGCGCAGTGCATCAATACGTGGCTGGACCAGCAGCACGTCTGCCCGCAGTGCCGACTCGACCTATTGCCTCCGGAACTTTCTTGGGGGCAGTCGTCGCAAGCGTCCGCCACTACCACCTCTGGAAACCCGACGCAGTTCGCCAATCTGTTCGGATCGCTCGAGAGGATGATACTCGCGTCCCACCAGTCGGTAGCAGGCGGGGGATACAGCTACAGCGGCAGCACCATCGCCACCCACGGTGCTCAGGGGCAAGACACAGGGCCTGCAGCCGCTGGGTCGCCGTACGCCTCCATTTTCGGCAGCCCGCCGTACGGCGCGTCGCCGCTTCCGACGGCAAACAGCGTGGCCCACCAGGCTCGGCGTTCGCCCGAGTTCTTCAGCGGGGCAAGGGGCAATGGCAGCAGCAGCCAGCACAGGAGCGTCCGCGCCAGCGCCAACATCGCCGGTTCACCCACGGACATGCCTGGTCCTTTCCACGCGCACTTTCAAATGCAACAGCAGCGGCAGCAGCAGCAGCAGCAGCATCTACTGCAGCAGCAGCACCACCTTGCCAGCCCGGCATTCACGGACGGGTCCCCGCCCTCGACGGCAAGCAGCGCGGTGCTGGTCCATCCCCGTGGGCGAACGTCGCCGCGGTTCACTACCTTGGGGAGGCACGCCAGGGGGACGCCAGTGCCTAATGGTGTCGGGCGCTTCGGCATGTTCCCTGCCGTGATGCGGTCGGTGAGCTTTCCGGCGCCGGACGGCAGCACCGTCGGGAGCGGCGGTGTTGGAGAGTCGGGGGTGAACGCGGGCGCGGCACGGTTGGGCATACCGCCGACTCCGCCGCGGGGCCGCCATCCGAGCACGGGCGGTCCTCAGGTATCCTCGGTGCACCACAACCACCAATTCTGGCCCGTTGTAGCCGCCCCGCACCACCATCCGCACCAGCAGCAGCAACACTACGATCACCAGAGGCCCAGAGGAGATCAACAACCAACTGCCGCGAACGCGGTCGGCGCTGAGCCGACGGGAGCGGCGGTGGCCGGTGTTGCCCGTCAGGGACATAGCGCTGCGGCACCGGCGCCGGCCTCGGCTTCGATGACAACAGCGGCTCTAGCCGCCCCCTCGCCGCCCCCGCTGCTACGACTCAGCCCACGACGCCCCCGGATGGCGGCGTTGGGACGAGGCGCGCGGCCGTCCACGCCCGTCATGTGCCCCGCCTTCACCGGCTTCTCGGCTGCTGGCAACGGTGGAGGCGCCTGTGATGGTGGTGAAGGCGGCGGCGGCGGCGGCGGCGGGGATGTTGGCCAGTATTTCATGGAAAGCTGCGGTGTCGGCACCCGGACTCGCAGCGGTAGCGTCCCCATCGGCAGGGCCCGAAGCGGGAGCGGTCACCGGCGCCTCCGCATTCCGAGCCTTCACGGAGGCCGCCGGCGGCTGCGGTCGCGATCCAACAGCTGCGACGTGGTCTCCACGCCCCGGTCGGGCTCTCCCGGAATGTTCGTCCTCGGGAACGCTAGCCCTAAGGCTGGCGGTGGCGGTGGGGGCGTTGTGGAGAGAAAGTCGTCGGGGGCGTTCTGGGGCAGCAAAGGTTGGCCTTCTTCTCGGAGGCCGCAAGGGATGGCATCGTGGGACGAGGTCGACGATGACGTCAGCGACATTTTCACCAGGTGAGAGGAGGGCTCATAGGCTTTTTCGTCTGTCTGTTGTCTTTCTAATATAACATTTTCGTTCTCTTCTGAGAGGGCTCATGGGCGTCTTTTCTGTTGTTTTTGTCACGATGTTTATTTATCTTCTCTCTCCCCCCCCGTCCGGGCTTTGGTTGCCTCTGTTTAGACTCCAGTCAACCGTGGTACTAGCATGAACGGCGCATAAAAAAATAAACATGCGGTACATACATTCCGGGAATAATGTACGGCCAACACATCCACATATCTACCACCTACGAACGGTACGTACTCGTGAGTATATTCCGTTTGGCCCCCCAAGGAAGCCGACCGGTTGCTGACCATACTCCAAAACGTCTCGAAATTCTTGCGAGATATCCATGGCTTACTCCAACGCGTTGGAACATTTTCGACCTCTCTACGGCTCATCATTATCAGGTGCAGGCCGGGGTCGGAAGACTGGGGGGGGAGCGGGGACTGGCAGCCGGACGCGTTCGAGGTGTCGTTCAGGAACGGCCCCTCCATCGCCCCAACGTCAACGGAGCAGCAGCACGGCCCAGCCAACTTGCGTGCCGCCGCCGCCGCCGCTACCACCACCACCACCACCACGCCTCATGTCGGTATCGTCTCGGAGAATGCTGGCGGTGGCAATGGTGGTGGTGGCGGTGGTGGTAGTAGAGAGCTGCCGCGGCCGCCTTCTCAACAAAAGCGGCAGGCGGCTGAGCAGCAGCAGCAGCAGCAGCAGCAGCAGCTGCAGCTGCAGCTGCAGCAGGAGCGCAATGGAAGTCAGCAGCACCAGGAGGACCACCAGCAGCAACAGCAACAGCAGCACGGGGACACCCAGCTTGGGCAGCAGCCGCAGCGCCAGCCGCAGCAAGAGGAGGGGCAAGAACGGCTAGCGCCGCACTTCCACCTCAGCTTCGATGACGATACCTCGGAATCGGAACAAGGGGGCGGAAGTGGTGAGGACCATGACAGCGACAGCAACGACAGCTCCTCCTATACAGACTCAGAGGAGTTGGAGGGGTTGGAGGCGGGTGCAACCGAGGACGGGGGGCGTCCGCGCGGTGGGGGCTTCTTGCCCGTGCTGTACTGTCAGTAAGAGAGAACGCTAAAAGAACTGAAAACCGTTCTCATGTACTTCTGTACTGTCAGTGAGCCGTGCATCACCTGTCAGTAATCATTGGGGCGTCTCTTCTTCAACGTGCAGCTGCTTTGGCTGGCCCCAGTTACCATCATTACTTTTTCTCATGTCAACAAATGGAAAGACGGGATAAATTATGTCGATGCGTGTGTGCCGGGTGTTTGTGCTACGAGGAAGGTGCTACTGGCTGTGACAGGATACATTAGACGCCCGCTGTCCGGACGGGGTGATGCCGATCAGTTGTGAGAGGTGCTGTCGCTGATGATGCCACAGCAACATCAATGGCTATCCGCTCTTCGCGTTGAGCTGTTCCTGTACGACTGCTTTAAGTATACTGCTAATAGCTTGTCGTCGCCGTCGGCAACAGGGAGAGAACTACATAGATCGACGACCATGGGGTTGGATGTTGGTTTTCCGCGTTCTTCGTTGTGGCTGGCCCCGCCTGAAACAGAACGACGCGCGTGCTTTCGGTACCGGGCTTGGAAAAGGAACGGGGTTCTATGTACCCAAACGGCAAAGAAACGGGGCTCTACCGTACCCAAACGGATCGAGGAGGAATCGCATCCCACAGATCTGTTGCCCCCTTCACCGTATGGTTGCTGTGTGTTTTGTGTGTATATCGCCCCCGCGCGGGCGTGTGCGCACCGTTTGAAGTGCTATGCGCGGGTGCCCTCTAGTTGATGGTCCTTATTTTAAGCGTCGTCCGCGTACAGTACGTTAGTATCGAGTTAAAGCCTTTACTGGGCGCACGTATATTTCAAGTATTGTTTTTTTGGAAGGAGTGATACCCATTTTTTTGTTCATGCGTTCCTCGACTTGTCGTTCAATTGGTTGTGCGATGAACCCTCCTTATATTATGTAGTTTCAACTATTTTGGATCGAGTGGTTCCCTGCTCTGATTCCCGGGTGGATTTCAATTCCGTTTCCCCGACGATTCGCATTTTTGTATTTTGCCGTTGTACTCCTTGGTCAATTCTGACGGGCGTTTTTTCACGCTGACCACCGTGATCGCATACATTACATATCTACTGTAGCAAGTTTGATGTTCGCGTATTTAAATGCTTGCCCGCCGTTGTTTTTCAACTATCGTGTTTGCGTGTACAGAGCAGGTATTAAAGATGAACTATTTTACACAAGTTTTTTTCCCATGCCTCACATACCCGTCGTTGGTAGGTAGATCAAGTGTGTGTGGAGCGTGGTATTTGTGTGCCTTCTTTGTGTTCTCGTACAACGTACCACGCACCATCGCGGTACGGTACATGCCTGACTTGGCTAGATTTTTCTGTCGCTGGGGGTGACTTTCTTCGTCGTATTTCGTTGGGAAGATAGCTTTGGGTACTGTAGGGGGAAAGAATGTGCTCCAAGCATGAAATTGGTGGAGGGCGGCCTCTTCTGTTCCCCAAGCGGGGTGCAGTGAACCCAATATTCTCGATTGATGGCGTTTGTGGTGGGGTACCCGTGTTTGGTTTTATTATTTAGAGTTTTCTGCCATGCAAATGTACTGGCAAGGACGCGCATGGCAGGGTAGACTCTTGACGACAGACTGACATGAAACATACTGCGGTGCTACTCGCGTGAGGTAGACAGGCTGTCTCTTTGTTGAATAGGTTTGATAGTGTATTCATGGCCAGGCAATGGAGGACGTCCGGTGTCAAGCACACGACGGCCATATTCACCACCGAATGTTTTTCGTCGTGTTCATCTCTCTCGGGCACAGCAGGTAGTGCCGCGTTTGGCCGTGTCCAACCTGCATAACCTCTTCAGGTGGCGGTGAAAGGCGTAACTTCAGTGTTGTTCCGGGTGGGTGTGAAAAGCTGATTCAAGACTATGTTATAGTGCAAAAATAGTACATAGTGTAGTTCGTCTGCCGAGTCTGAAATGGAGGAACCACCGGGTGAATATTTGATGTAGAGACGCATTCGTTCAGGAGTTTGTCTGTCCTGGACCTTTCGCGCGCGCGTGTGTGCCATGTGTGGATTTCGACTGCCTCGAGGGATTTTCGTTCCAAATGTGGAGGGAGGCCTTCTGTAGCAGTACTCGGCGTGTAGTATCTATGGCGCGCCTGCCTGTTTCCGACAAATTTTGTGGAAGCTATGGAGCATGGTACATAATGACACATATTAGTTTTACCGCCCTGTCAGCGACGTACCAGACAACGGGGTGCTTTTCCTCCCCTGGATAACGAGGAAAAATCTGGGGACTGCAGTATACATGCTGAGGGGTTTTAATGTTTGTTTGAGGAGGAAGTAATAATTGTAATGAGATCTGCCTACGTCCTTTCTCGAGTTGTGTGGAACTACTGTACTCCGGCCCGACAAGTGATCCTCGTTGTTGTTATCCTCTTCTTCCTATGTTTCTATCTGATTGCCTTGCATGGACATGCAGCACATAAATCAATCAAGCACGACACCAGCTCACACGCACCACGGATTCAGATGGGAACAAAATGCGGAAAACCTCAAGCATCTCCATCATGACGTTTGACGGTCTGATCCCGTAATAAAGCCATGGTAACGCACCATGACAGGCTGTCTCCAACTATGTATTCTTTTATCACATGGTGAGGAGACCCAAAGAGCTCAAGCAGGCATGTTTTGGTCCACTCTTCTTGTTCTGGTACACGGTGTGTTTCGATCTACATCATGTTCCTACGAATGGTGGACGAGGCTCGCTCGCACCTTAGGCATTCAATATTTTGCAATATATCTGGGTTGTGTGTGTAGTCGCGTGTTTGGGGTTGGCGTTTTCTCGGTCACGCACCCTCGTGGTCCGTTGGCTCCCGCGTGCTTACCGTATGTATGTACGCGCCGTTTTGCATGGACACCGGTCTTCCCAGCCCACTGTAGTTTCTGGCAGCAAAGCTTGCTATTTTTTTGTTCATCCTATTCAAAATCTGCTTTGTTTGCTTACACCATCTGCTCTACCACACCCACCGGGTTTTGCCTTCACTCTCTCCCCCCGCATCAAGTTACAGTATTCTTATTCTTCCGGTGTCCGGCGTACGGTGCCCTGCATACCCTGTAAATGTCATCCTTTACCTTATGGCCGTTAGCAACCCTGCGCCGCGCGGGCACAAGCGCCCCCGCCCCCATCAACCAACGTTTTTGCCATCCTCCCACAATGGCATCCCTCTACCCGTAGATCGCCCCTTCATCCAAAACGGTCGTCGTCTTCCCTGCAAGCTCAGTGACCGCCGTAGTGGCAGCCGCTGCCTTGATCCGCTCCTCCTCCTGTCTCTCCAACACCTCGAGCGGCATTGGGAAAGGACTATCCCTCACCCGGTCCACGCCCCCGTTGGCAATACCCCTGTCGCGAAATCCATCATACCTAGTGGTCGCCTCCACAAGGATTTTAACTCCCGGATGGACGTCTGGAAAGGGGGCCAACATCTTCCTTCCACGGTACGATGTCAGCATCCACGCCGCTTCGTAGTTCTTATATTGGACCTGGAAGGGGTGGGGGTCGTAAATGATAAACTGTACAGGGGGGGGGCAGGCATACCGGGTCTGCGGGGGTGGGGGGTGGTTGTGCACGTGGTTGAGAGCATATGTGGTTAGTTCTTGCCATCTAGAGATATTGTGCGAACTGAACAAGGGTGGCAGATCGACGGGTTGTGTTCCATCGCTAGTGTATCGGGAACCATGCATATCGTCATCAGAAGGATTGGATGCATTGCTCCTTTGATCATGAGCCATATCTTCGTCCAGAAAGGATTGCTTATCGCTTCCGACGCCGTTCCCGCTGCGGACAAAAAACACCAAGTCAAGCCCCCGAACTACCACACACAATAACTTCCAATGCCGGTGGGGGCATGGCTCTGAGAAGAAAACGTGAAAGATAGTCCTCGTTTCGATGCCGACCTCATCGGATGGGCGAACCATTTTCGCCCAGAACGTGGCAACACTCGAACAGTGTTCCTCGCAGATTGGTGGCTTCCGAAAGGAGAAGGGGCGGTGAGCAGGGAGCTGCCAAACGACAAATCCAAGCAGAGCAATGGGCACTCCCAAAATAACCTCTCTCTCTCTCTGCCTCCCAGCCTGGTCGGTGAATATCTGGAGTGGCCCGTCCCCGCTCTGCATGTAGGGGTGCAAGATTGGCTTACGGGTTACAGGCTACGGCCACACATTCCTCTTCGAGGCCTTGGCCACGATTCATCTTCTATGGGATACGGTCACGCACGTCTGTGCGAACACTTCCTTCCAGGAGCACGACCAAAGCGCTGTGACGAATAGTGCCCTACTTTTCTTCTTCCTCAGAAGGCAACAGGGCGCCCTACAGAGTCTTGGTTGGGTCGAGGGGGGGGGTTATTCAGTCTTCCCGGTAATCAAGCTTGGGGTGCCCTCTGCATCGAGTTTGGAGCAGGCCGATATTTAAAGCACCTTTTTTTTCCCTCCTGGGATGAAGGGAATAAAGGTCGCGCTTTCGCGCTCCGCGGCTCACCTGTAGCCAATCCCCGGAGGTCGCATGCGCTATCACGCACTGATCGGCGCCGATCCTGCCCAAAACATGCCCCCCCCCTTCAACGGCCTCTTCTCCCCCGTGGCCCCCCCAACCCCCGCGTTCTCCTTCGGCGCCGCCGGGTTCCGTTCGAACTTTAAGCATCGTTCCTGCCGGAAGTCCCGCGGCGTGACAATAGACTCGAGGGAGAAGGAACCGCACCACCCGGGGCTTGAAAACCGCAGTCCCCGGGGCCAACGCCTCCGGCTCGCGGGGTGGAGGGCGGGCCCCGCCTGGGGGCGAGGTGTAAAGGATGGGGTGCGGGTTATGCAGGGGAGCGGTGGATTGGACACTCTCTGGAGGGTGATGGGTCGAACGCACAGAAGATTCGCGCGGACATGCAGGATTTTCCTACTGGCGGAACCGTAGTTGACTGTTGGCCTTGTCGAGATTATCTTAATGCTTTTCACTCGTTTTTCGACGTGTTGCGAGCGCACTCGCTATCGACGTTGCTCGCTCTGTCACTTCTTCGCGCCGTTGTTCTGACAAAATACGGGACATATAATGTACCCGTTCCCTCCCCCGCAACGCACGGCAACGCTCGTCCTGCTGCCCTTGCGTGTAGTCCTGCACGCAATGACCCGCAACGAGGATGAAACCGCCATCCGCCGCTTGGTCGCAAGTCGCCCCCTTTGCCGTCGCAACGCATACGTTGTTGCGTCTACAAGCCATGATTTTCTGCGACGGAGCATCGTGTAGCCCGTGGGGCTCCTCACCGTGGTGCAGAGTGTACGCTAGGGCTTGCAGGCCCGTCGCCGCGGCGTGCCCAAGCGTCGACAGCCCCGAAGACGCCAGGGTCACCGGTCGGGCAAGGGTCGAGGCCAACGTGCCGACGCCGCCGACGCCACCGCCGCCGGCGGTGGCGGAGAGATGGGCGGTAGACGCGGCGATCTTCGCGGCCGACCGGGCGGGGGGGAGGGTCATGCGTGTCATGACGACGCGGCGCCGCCTTGACCCCTTCTTGGTGTCAGCCATGGTGTGCTTGACGTAGACCCCTCGGTGGGACTTGAAGTTGATCTGCGTGGTCACCATCGCGTTTGTCTTAATTGATCGTTGTTGTTGTTGTTGATCGGTTTTTGTTTTGGTGCCGTCGCTGGTACTGCGGATGAAAACTAGCCTTTCATGTTTTCTGGGTCTGCACCTTGCCTTGGGTCTCGACGATGACGTTGACACGTCTTCCACCCCATGTCAAGCCATGAAGGCCGCCATGCATTTGATCAACGTAAACTGTACGACCGTCGGCCTTCCTCGTATCAGATGGCTGTTTCGATGTGGCTAAACCACAGAATAGTAGGACCTCCATCCGAAAACTCTCCCCAAAGCCCCGCGTCGCACCAGTCTGGGACAAGCATCTACTTTCAAGTACTCGCCACCAACCGATGGCTCTTACGTGCTAGCGAGTGCTATACACGTTTCCAACGAAAATAAAATACCTTCAACCAAACCCCTTCCTCGCCCAGAGCAAGCACTAGCATGTCATACGTGATTGTTCCTAGAGGCCGGGAAATGTCGTTCTGAGGGACCGAGAACAGCGATACAGCAGAGAGCGTGGGGGTTAGGAGGGTTACGCAGATGAACGAAGGACGGTGGGCATATGAGGATCGGCCGAAAACAATGGCAGATGCTTTGGCCCATTACAATCCCTAGCGTCCTTTAAGAGTCCGGGACGGAGCCGGTTCTGCAAAAGAGGGCGGGGGGAGATTCCTGTGAGGTTGGCTTTCGTTCTGCCTGATGCGATCGAACGTCGGAAGTAGTGGAGGTGCTATTTTGATGCAGGTATGAGCTCGTCATGTGAATAACAGAAAAACGGGGGCAAACAACGAACGAACATCAACAAGTACACCGGCATCCTCTAGAAACAACAAAGAGGCATCCATTCGTCGTTACCGCATCCTCGTGAACTTGTAGCTCGGTCTCCTCCGGCATTTCCCTCGCCACGTGAAAGTATTCCGGGAAGCTGTGCGACCCGCCGGCCCGCCTCGCCACCGCAACGATGTCGGCGTTCTCCTCGAACCGTTCCTAGGAGAGGTCCCGATACGGTGCGCAGCTTATGTAGGAAATCAACTAACTGTCCTCACTTGTCACCCCATCGAATTTGGACCCTACGGTGGGCTTTTTCTTTCTTCTTTCGAGTCATTGCATCTGCTACCTCGCCCGCGTATCAACCTACCTTCGGAACAATGCCTACGCGCTGTTGAAGATCTACGACCCTTTGGTGCTGCCTTTAAAATGATTTTTCGCGGGAAGGGTTCAACTATCCTCCGCCTCGTCAATGCTCCCGTCGAACTCTGCGCACGCCTGCGTATAGGTGGAAACACTCAAATGTCCGGCAACCGGACGAAAGGCTGCGCTCAAGCCACCAAACTAAGGCCATGGCGCGGACACGCAGCAGTGCCGCCGTGCACAACGGGAGAAAAGAGGGCGCAGGAACACGTAGTGCCAGCACACCCAATTGATGCCGCAGTGTGCGCCGGAGAGGAAGGGTGCGCAAAAGAACTCGTCCTACCTGGAGGGCAGCGTTGACGGCGTGCCACGGTTCGTCACCAAGGTGCTCGTCCAGGGCGTCGGGGGTAGAGCAGCCGAACTCATGACACTCGGGGCAGACGAAGCGGGGCGGGTCGAGGCCTCTGAACCTCTCGGCCGCCTGCAGCCGAGCCTCCCTCTCGCCGACCACCAGAATCACGCGACGAGCCCAATCTCGAGATACCTTTCGACATCAGCAGGACAGGGGGGGGGGCACGTTGGGCCTGGATTTCTTCGCCTGCTGTCCTCGTCACTGCCAGGGGAGGGAGTAAGAGTGTGGGAAGATGCATAGCACAGCAGCTCGCGTTTCCTCTTCCTCCTCTAGTCCTTAGTAGCTAGTGGGGGCGTAGATAAGGTAACCGAGTGGTTGGGTGGGTGTTAAACTGGAGCGTTGACCGGGGGGTGCTGTGGATGCGTGAATGGGTGGATCAAGGCCTCATGAGCGGGTTCATTTCACCTCTATCGACTAACCTGATCTTCTTCTTGGTGGTCTTCACAAAACGCTATCAAACACAAGAAACCACCCCAACCCTCTTTCGGGTGGAGGAATTGTAGCAGACGTTGACTATTGTCCCGAGGTCTCGTGCACTGCACTGTTGAACTGAACGGACGATCCTCTCCTTCTTGAGGCTGGGTGCGAGCGTCTTTCAACCTGTGTCCCCCGTGTGGTTTCCCAGGTGATTGAAGTTTCCACCCACGCCGCGCTTCGTGGGTCCAATCGGGCGCCACCAAATAGAGATATCTGGGCTACACGAAGAAAACGAACGTGACTAGATGGGTGCAAAACCAGAATGAGCAGCTCTACAAGTGTTGTGTGTACCTCCCCCCAGCGTTCCCGCTTCCGCTGTCGATTGTTGAGCTGCCGGAGTTCCTTGCGAGACGGCGCCGTGAAGCTGGGCCTCCATTGCAAGTGCTCCCGCCGGTGCCACCTCCAGAGGTGTGTCATGCATACCTGTGGAGAGAAAAATTGCCCAATGGAAAAGCCTTTTATGCAGTCGTCCTGTGTGTCCCGTATGGCAGCAAAAAATAAAAATTGTACCGGTAGTTGGTATCAACAGAGAGAGGAAGAAGTACTTCGCAAGCATCTATTGCGGTAGCGATAGCAACGGCAACAACGAGGACAACACCAGCAACTATAGCGACGATCACGACGATCACGGCGACAACCGCAACAACCGCTGTCATGTAGTTTGACGGACCGTCTTTTCACCGCTTCCCGTGGTGAACGGCCTAGGCGCGGACGTCCCTTGATCCAACCCGGAGCGCCGGATCGCTCTCTCCCTTGCCGCCTGGACCGCTTTTCGTTCTTCGTCAGCAATCTGAGAATTCGACACGAAGAACAGCATGAATTACGGCTGTCCCCGAACAACCCTAACCTTTCCGAAAAGGAAACCCCATACGAGAACGAGCACAATCCGTTGTTCAGTCCTGCTGTGTCCTACAAGAGGACGAGAGCCGAGATACCCGCCGCTGTTCCAAAATCGACCGAATAGCAGCAACGTTGCTGGGCAAGCTTGAAATGAGCTGCATTCGCCTGTTTGTGTATTTCAGATTGAGGAAACTGGAAAAGAGAATGCATGGTCATGTTTACCTTGGTGAGCTGGGCGGCGACTTTTTTCACCTCCTCCGGCCTGACGGCCTCGGGGAGCCTCAGCTGCGCCATCAGATCCCCGATCTGTCCCGATCGGGACCAAACGACAGACCGACCAGAACAAGACTTAATAACAATAGGGCATTCATGATTCATGGCTTTCAACGGTGTTTGCTTTCACTCGCGCATTTCTTGTCGTTGTCCTCCTCTTGTGATGTATACAACTGGTTCCGACCGAAGCTTGCCGATCAACCACAGCACCGATCCTCTCGACCTCACTACGGTGTCCCTGTTCTTGTGCCCGGCACAAGCACTACCGGAACGTGTCGACATCATATGTCCCGGTTTAGTTTCCACCACCTCGACGAGGGGAGTGCGGGGCAAAATATGTGGTTGCGCCGAATATGAAAACGGAATTGCAATTCCTTGATTAACGACAAAGGTCTTCCCCATACCGGAGGCGTTGGTAGTTTCTCACAACATGGTTGTGGGAGTCTGCAGAACACCAACCGTGAATATCATCGGTATCAGCATGGGCGAAGTGAATAGCATTAGTAGACGATCCCCCCCGTAACTTTGCCAGGACCGAGAGCATGTCTCTCACACGTGAAAAACGGCCCGTGTTCAACTGTGACCTACCTTACAATATGCTAGGCACGTATGCCCACTCATTCATTCACGTTTTGTGGACGGTTCGAATGTATGTACCCCATGCTGTTTGTTGTAGAAGAATTCAGGCAACAGACGTCACGCTCACGTCGGATGCCAGCATCTCCCCGCGCCCCTCCGGGTCGAATCGTCCGAATACCTTCAGGAACGGGGGTCGGTGCTTCACGTCCCACGCCTGGCGATTGTGTGGGCGACACCGGACCGGCAATCATGTTGAAGCCGTCAACGCTGACTTACTACCTGCATCCGTCTCTCCCTCAGGGGAACCGCCGTCGTACAACAAGGCACACACCTTGAACCGTCTCCTCCGATCGGCCTCACTGTTCCAACACGAGCAGTTCTCCGTAGAACATTCGTCATGTGGAGAAGTTTCGATGAATGCAACAGTTTACGGCACATCACGCATCGTTTCAGAACTGCCTGGGTTAACTTGTTTTGGCGTCTCGTCGTCGGTGCACCCATCCGAAGAGCCCCGAGGGTCACACTACCCGCCGCCGTCGACGCACCTTCTTTCCGTCCTGCATCTCTCGAAGGCTTCTCTTGATTTCCTCCTCATCTTCCTCTTCCATCTGCGATGCCGCAGCAAAACTCGGCAAGGATGACGAGGTAGACACAAGACTCACGAGGCCACCGAGTGACTCTTCGGCTTCCGACACTGCGGTCTCACCCCAACCCGCCTTCTTCGCCGGCCCTGCTGCCTTGGGTCCTAGTTCGGGTTAAGGTTGACGTTGACAGGGCATTAGGAGTGCGGTAGCAATGGCTTGGGATCTGTGTTACAGGGTAGAAAGTATTCAGGAGGTACGGTGAAGAAAGAAACAGGGTTTCCGTAGTTCGGGTTTATTTTGATTGGGTAGCTTGAGTGCGATAGCAGGGTCGATTGGGATCTGTGCTAGGTGGAACGTGTTCAGGACACTGGTGAAGCCAGAAACAGATTTGCCCCAGAATGTTTAATCTGTTCTTGAAGCCCGTGTTGGTAGCTTCCAAGCACCAAGTTCCGAAGTCCCCAGTTCGCGCCTGCTGCTTGTTTTGGCGAACTGGGGGTTGAAATCCGGCGGGCTCAATGGTGCGAGAAGCAAACATCTCGCGCGGGCGGCATGCACAGCGTAGCCAGGCGGCCAAACTACACCAGCACCACCCCTCCTCGCTGGAGCATCGTGTGGATACTGGCGGAGAAGGACAGTCAGGAGTCTCAATACTTGCACAGCTCACGAGGTGGCCGTTTCTCCCGGCCCGCTATTTGCGGTCCTTCAGTACGTTGATCGACATTCCCAGCCCCCCCCCCCCCCCCCCCCCCCCCCCCAACAAAAAACTTTTAAACAAACCTTTT